TCAGTGTATTATAGTTGTTACTTTATCTATTTAAACCAACACGTTTCTCATGACGATGACCACTCTGTTGTTCAGATATATCACATATTTATAACTAAATGATACATGAATTGAAACAAAACACAGTATAAACTGAGGAGTGAGTCCCGTGAGTTTCATGTGTTTTCTTCACTCCGCTGGTAAACTGCTCTCATGTCAAGAAGCAACAGATCAGTGCATGCGCTGCATCGTCCAATCAGTGAGCGATACACAGTAAGGGGGCGGGGCGAGTGTCTGAGGATTTCACCGGAGGATGGTCCGGTAGTTCCTCGACTATCGCTCCTCCGTTATCGCTCCTCGATCCTCGGTCCTCCGGCACAAATAAGGCCACTGGGACGCTACTCAAGATGGCGCAGACAAATCAACTTCCGGTGATACCGAGACCGAGGAGCGAGGAAATGAGAAATAACCGAAGTGAGACGCAGCCAGAGACTCGCAGGCTGTCTGCTGCAGGACAGTCCGCTTTCAGCCTGCTTTTACTGTTTTCAATTGAATCGAACCTCCAAACAGTCACTCAGTCTTCGTCCAGATGACTGTGATTGAAGACCGGCCGCTGACCTATGCCAAAATGAGAGGGCTTGTGTCATTTTTCTCAGGTAAATTAAGAATATCTTGTTAACCGGCTCGCTTTATGTTAAAGTCTGGTTACATTTGACCGCTTATTGCCAGCAGATGAATACAGTCAAAAGCAAGCTGACAATCCTGGGATAGTCTCTAAATGATATTGTCAGAAAATAGTTTTGAAGTAATATATCGCGGCCTGACAATAACTTAAAAGCTTATTATAGTTTCATAACTTAATCCAGCTAGTCAAATTGTGTATATTTTAAGTAGATTTACTCAAATACTTAAGTACAATGTTGAAAGATTTGTAGGCTACTTTACTTGAGTATTCAAATGTTTTGCTACTTTCTACCCCACTAGTAGGCTAAACTAGTTTTTTATAAATAATACAAACAAATGTATTATTCATTTAGTACCTGAAGACTTTAGTTACACCTGGAGTAAATTCACAAACGTAATTAAAATTAGCTGCACCTTTACAAGCTTTGATAACACTTAAATTGATCAATAATTATAATTAAAACGTATAATATATATTATTCTGAGATGGGCCAGTCTGCAAATTGAGTACTTTGACTTTTGTTACTTTAAGTATATTTTGATGCTAATACTTTTACTTTTACTTGAATTACATTTTGAATGCAGGACTTTTACTTGTAACAAAGTATTCCTACACTCTGGTACTTCTACTTTTATTTGAGTATTAGATCGGAGTTCTTCTTCCACCTCTGGAATATAGTTCCAAAACTAGTTAGATCAAATCCTAGAATCCAAATTTATGGCTAACAACACTTTTTTGATAGTTTTCTTTTGTTGTTTAAATCAGGATGAAACCGTCAGATTTTGACTATCTGAACGTTATCGGCAAAGGCAGCTTTGGAAAGGTAAGGGTTTTGAAATCTTTTAAATGTGAGTTTTCTTGTTGGGAAATATAATGACACAGCTTAATGGAACAACTTCTACAGGTGCTGCTGGCAAGGCATCGAAAAGATGGAGGTTACTATGCTGTCAAAGTGCTGCAGAAACAGATGATTGTCAAGAGGAACGAGGTAATCCGTCCATCTGTCTGTCCGTCCATCTGTCTGTCTGTCCGTCCATGTACTTACTGTTTCTGCTGTGTGTCTGTAGCAGAGGCATGTGATGGTTGAGAGGGGCGTGCTGCTGAAGGGACTACAACATCCATTTCTGGTGGGGCTACACTTTTCTTTCCAGACACTGAACACACTCTACTTCGTCCTGGACTATGTTAATGGAGGGGAGGTATGTATATACAGTTGAGGCCTAAATTATTAGCCCCTCAGGAGTTATGGAACATTTTCCTAAAATTCTTCCCAATGTTTCCAACATTGATAAAACTTGATATAATCAAACATTCACCAGTGCTATTTAGTAGCTTTTGGTACATTTTGGAACATAAAATAAGTTTTTAGGCTTGCTTTATATCAAATATAGTGAAAAATGGGTTGGTCAAAAATATTAGCCCCCAGGCCATTAATAGTCAATGAGCCACAACTGACAACAACCTCTTAGAGTAGTTCTTGACTAGGTTGTCACAGGTTTCTTGAGGGATTTTGGCCCATTCTTCCATTGCAAATTGTTCCAGCGGGTCCAAATTGCGTGGTTTCCGAGCATGGACATTCACTTTGAGCACCCGCCAGATTCTCAATAGGATTAAGATCTAGCTATGTGCTTTCGACCATGCCCAGGTTTGTTTCTTACAGAATGTGTCTCCTTGTACTTCGCAATGATGCAACGTACAGCAGTTCTAGACACTGTGAAGTGCTTGGACATAGCAGTATAGCCTTCCCCCTTATCATGAGCCTCCACTATCTTCTTTCTGAGCTCAAGACTGATTTTCTTTGACTTTGGCATGGTGAGTAGTAGTAGTAGTAGTAGTATAGTCCCTCTCAATAAGGTATCAGAGTGCCTGTTTCTTGGAGTCCTTTTATGCTGATTGAATGCTCAGGTGTGGCTTGAAAGCTGATTGGTTGATTAGGTGTGGTTTGAAAGCTGATTGATTGATTAGGTGTGTTTTGAAAGCAAAAATTCACATGGGGGCTAATATTTTTGACCAACCCATTTTTCACTATATTTGATATAAAGCAAGCCTAAAAAAAAAAATGTTATTTCCCAAACAGTACCAAAAGCTACTAAATAGCACTGGTGAATGTTTGATTATATCAAGTTTTATCAATACTGGAAACATTGGGAAGAATTTTAGGAAAATGTTCCATAACTCCTGGGGGGCTAATAATTTAGGCCTCAACTGTACATCTCAGACCCCCTTAGGCCAAAACCAACTATCTGAAACCCATATATAAAGTAACATTTACAAATCTTAACTCAAAACTACATACAGTATTTCCCATGCAAATGCAGTTTAAAATGTTGTCCTAAAATGCTAACACTCATCTGTTTGTTTTCAGCTTTTCTACCACCTTCAGAGGGAGGGTTCATTTCCTGAACCGAGGGCTGCTTTCTACGCTGCAGAGATGGCCATGGCACTGGGCTACCTCCACTCTCTCGACATTGTTTACAGGTACAGTACATATAAACACACACAAATAGACAAGCCCTCGAAAAGGCTCTATTTTACCTGGCTCGCCACTTTTGCTCATGTTTGATTTAGACATGTTCCAAATGTTTAATTATTGAATGCAGGACAATCCCAATGAAACGTTCACTTTGATAAGAGAGCTCTCACTAACAATGTTATCACTAAAAACAACCATGTCCTCCAAAATAATATTTAAAAATGTAGATGTAAAGAAATATCAGTTGAAACCAGAAAGGATCATAGAGAGCAAAAACCTCTGCCTAGACAATTTCTAAAAAGGAGAAAGTATACATGTATCTGCTCCTCTGTTCAGATACACACCAACATTTTATGTTTTATTTTTCCATGGACCATGGACTACACCTTTTACCAAGTTTCATAAATATCTAGGCAGTAGTTTTTCCTTAATCCCCCTGACAAACAAGCCAGCAGACCAAATTCTAGGTGTTTGCCTCTGTCTTCCAGGGACCTCAAACCAGAGAACATCTTGCTTGACAATGAGGGTCATGTGATGCTGACTGACTTTGGGCTTTGTAAAGAAGGTGTGGCCGTAGGTGGGATTATGCATACATTCTGTGGGACTCCTGAGTACCTCGCTCCAGAGGTGGCTACAAGGCTTCCCATACAGTCCAGCAGTGGATTGGTGGGGCCTCGGCACTGTGCTGTTTGAGATGCTCTATGGACTGGTAAGTGCAGCATATAAAATAATACTTTCTTCACTTGATTTTCTCCAGCATTTTCACCTGACTCCTTCACCTCCATGTTCTTTTTCTTAGCCTCCGTTTTACAGCCGTTGCAAAGCAGAGATGTTTGAGAACATACTTCACGCTCCTCTGCAGGTGCGCAGTGGAGGTTCTCAGGCCTCACTGTTGAAGGGGTTGCTGTAAAGAGACGTCTCCAAATGCTTAGGGGGAAGCAGTGACCTTGTAAGTGCACACAAAACCTATAAAATAGAGACGAGCATTGATACACACACACACACACACACATAATTACAGAGCGTCTAACTTCAATGTGTCTGCAGGCGGAGCTGCAGGAACATCCCCTTTTTGCATCCATCAAGTGGGACGACCTGCTGGCCAGGAAAGTGAGACCTCCCTTCATCCCGAAAGTGGTAGGAATGATTCATAAAGAAATGGAGAGACATATATTTTTAGAACCAATGCACGGTGTACCTGAGTGTATGTTGATTTCTCTATCCTCTCTAGGCCGGCCCCTGTGATTTAAGCTACATCGACCCTGAGTTCACTCTCCAACCTGTCCCTGCCTCTGTGAATGAGTGCCAGGCGTCTGGGACCAACGAGGCCTTCCCAGGATTCTCCTTCATGAACCCAGTGGAGTACGTGGCAGCAAAGCCGGGTTCATAACAACGCAAAATCTTCTGGGAACGTGTCAAATATTTATTTTTTATGTCATAAATTATTGAATTAAATTCTATTTTTAAACACTTACACTGCATGTTTTTATCAGTTTTTAAATAACAGTTTATTTTTGCTTTTTTACATGTTATTCTAAGCATTCGTTCATAATTTGAAATAGGCTGGTTTCTATTTCACAATTTCTAGCTACCTTAGTTTGTATGGAGATTAAAGAAAAAACACTCTGCAGCAGGTTTATTTCTTTAACATGTATATCTTTTAAAATATGCAACAAACATGTAGTGCAACTTTCCTGCACTTAAATTCACAGCTTACAAAAGTACTGAAAATACTGAACAGGGTGCCTTAAAATCCTGCAAAGTAACAGAGGGATTGTGCAAGCAAAATACATAGAAACATCTTGTTGTGGCATTTACATAAAAACAATAGGATGCCATTCTGTTGGCAACAAAGTGGACCCAGCTCTGTCCTTAAGCGTGATGGTGAGGAAGTCATGTCTTTTCATAGTAACAAAAAACAAAAGCCGCGCACGATGGAGAATCTCATCGTGGTCTCCATGATGAGATGTCTGGTTTGATTATTCCACCTCACTTCACAAGACTGTTTATGAAAAAGTTCATAGCTTTCTGTCTGTCAGTACATGCTGAAGGAGGCGTAGCTCTGGTCACTTTTGCAGGTGAAGTAAGCTATCAGCTGACCGTTGCAGATCATCAGAAACAAGCCGCTTCCTGTAGGACAACAAGAAGCACAGAGCATCAGAAATAATTGAGCTAATAAGGTAATAGGGCCAGTGTGTACAACTTGCACACAACTTCATGGCTTGACCATTGCATAAGCACTGCTAATGCCCATGACATTTTAAGATCAATTGAGATTGTGTATCAGGCATCCATGTCTGATCACATTCCTTTTGTAATGTCACTAGATTGTGATAGTCTCCCTGAGATGTCTCAGGAGGTTAAAAATGCCTGTAACACTAAAGTGGATTGGTCCAAGCTCACAAATGAGGATAGGCTATTGTACTATGGGAGAACTGATGTCCTATTGTGTGATGTATATCTACCCAAAGTAGCAACTTTGTGTGTTGATGTGGGTTGTAATGAAAGCTCTCACCGTGAAGACCTCTGTAACATGTATGATTGTATTGTGGGAGCTGTGTGTGAGGCCAGTAGACCGTGCTATACCTACTCTGGGAAGAGACACAACGTCAAGCCAGGGTGGAATAAACATGTGGCTGATCAACATGTTGAAGCTAAGAATGCTTTTGGGGCCTGGGTCCGGGCAGGTAGGCCCAGAGAGGGGCCTGTCCTGGATCTCAAAAAGCTTACAAATGCTAGATATAAATATGCAGTTCGTTATGTCAACAAACATCCACAAACATTGAGAGCGGATTCTATGGCTGAAAAGCTCCTTCATAATGATGTTACTGGCTTCTGGAAGGAGGTGAGAGCTCTGAACAGTACGTTGTTACCATGTACATGTACTGTACTGATAACATATATATTCAGATATTGTTCAATGAAAGACAAGGGAATCATTATTTACGGGGTTCATTTAAATTCACTAATGTTAGGGTGCGCACAACAAAGAGAAGTTTTTGTGTTTCTGTTTGTGGGGTGAAGATCTGGAACAATTTGAGTGAAGAGCTAAAGGGATGTCCAAACAAAACTATTCAAAAAGAGGTATAAAGACACAATTCTCACAAGGTACAGGGATGAAACTGCTAAACCATAACTGTTTGTATTTTGTTTATGAATTTGTGTTTGTATGAATTTGTGTATGTATGTATATATATATATATATATATATATATAGATATATAGAGACCATTGTCCTAACTTGCCTGTATATATTATATGAATGATTATATAAATTATTCAAGATTATAAGTATATGTTTATATTGTATGTTAACATATATTAAGATGTAAAAAAATAAAAATAAAAATAAAAATAAAAAAGGGAGAAGGGGTCGGATTAAATAAGTGTAAACTTCTTCCGACCCCTTTTCGGACGTGTAATTAGCTAAAGCTTTGTTGTTTATTGTTTATTGATATCAGACAATGATACTGCAGATTATTCAATTATTATTTAAATGTTTCGTTTTGTTATTGCATTCATTTGTATAGTACTGTATCATGTCTGTATCACCTTTTGTTTCATTTGTATTTTCTTTGGTTTTACACGCTCGAAAAAAAAAAATAAACTAAACTAAACTAAACTAAACTAAACATAGCTGAGTTGTGGAGGCAAGTCAACATTACTCTACTATACTTAATTGTGTTAAAAGTGACCCCTACAAGGTTGGTAATGTTGTGAAAAGTGACACAGTGGGAATCACAGCTAATGAGGTTTATCGAGCAATTGCACAGCTAGCTGATAACAAAGCAAGCGGCTCTGACCGAATCACTGCAGAGCACCTTAAACTGGCAAGCCCGAAGGTTGCAGTTCTTCTTGCCATTTGTTTTACCGGCCTCATGACTCATGGTATGTTGCCGGACTCCATGTTGACTGTTACTTTGGTGCCTGTCATTAAGGACAAAGCGGGCAAGGTAGGGGGCTTGGATAATTATAGACCAATTGCTCTAGCCAGTGTGTTATCCAAAGTCCTGGAAATAATTTTGTTCGATAGATTATGTTCTTATTTATGTACCTCAGATAACCAGTTTGGCTTCAAGGCTAAGCATGGTACTGAGCTATGCATCTATGCTTTGAAGGAAATGGTAGAAACATATCGAAGACAGAATTCCACTGTTCTGATTTTTTGCTTTTGACCGAGTTAACCATCATAAACTGTTTTTAAAATTGAAACAAAGGGGTGTGCCCAACAGTATAATTAGGATCCTGGCTTATTGATATGCCAACCAGAGCATGCGGATAAAATGGGGAACTGCAGTCTCTGCGCCATTTGGTGTTGGTAATGGAGTACGCCAGGGGGGGCTCCTCTCACCATGCCTTTTTAATATCTATATGAATGATCTATCAGATGATTTAAGTGGCTGTAAAACAGGATGTGTGATTGGTCATGTGATTGTAAACCATCTTATGTATGTCGATGATTTGGCTATTGTTTCTCCTAGCAGTGCTGGATTTCAAAAGTTGCTAAATATATGTTCTGATCATGGTGTCAAATTTGATGTTAAATACAATGCTAAGAAGAGCGCTGTAATGATCTGCAGAGCAAAAGGGGATAAGAACCTTGGTTTTCCAATATTCTATCTGTCAGGACAGGTGCTGTCTGTTTGCTGTAAAACTAAGTATCTGGGACACATCATTACAGATGAAATGGCTGATGATGATGATGACATGTATAGACAGCGGCGTGTCTTATATACACAAGCTAACATGTTGGCTAGAAAATTATCTTGGTGTTCAGATAAGGTTAAGGTAAACCTCTTTAGAGCTTATTGTACTCCTCTTTATACTGCCCCCTTGTGGGTCAAGTTTAAGAAGGCGAGCCTCCAGAAGCTCCAGGTTGCTTATAATGATTGTTTGCGTATACTGCTTAGAAAACCAAGGTGGTGCAGTGCAAGTGACATTTTTTGTAATGCACGAGTCAACACGTTTCATGCTCTCTTGAGAAATCTGATGTACAAATTCATCTGTCGATTGAATGTTTCTCATAACTCTGTCATTATGCTGCTTTCAAATCTGTGTCTCAGTGCTGTACGGTACCAGTCACCTCTTTGGAAACATTGGTATAACTGCCTTTTTAAAATGTATATTTGAATGCTGTATGTCTTTTTAAAAAAATGGACCAAGAGTCTCTTTAAATAAAGCTGATGAAGATGATGTACTATTAAAGGGGATATACTGTATTAGCAGAAATTGAATACTATCTTCATAAGTTTTCAGGCTTAGAATGGGCAAAATAAATGTGTCTCTAGAAAGGTCTTTTAGCATTTTTAAGTTACATGAAGGCCACTGTAGTTCTCTGACACACTTATTGTTATGGTAAGGTCTGCCTCAGTGTGAGTAAACAGTCCTGAAAGATACCATGCTCTTTACAAAGGGTTGGCACTTGGTGGCAAGTTACTGCATGCTTATAATAAGGGTGTCGTATTGTCATACTGATATTCTGTACAAACTGTGAAGTCCACTGAGACAAATGTAACATTTGTGATATTGGGCTATATAAATAAACATTGATTGATTGATTGATTATAATAAGAGGGGTGAGCAGAGGGGTCAGATCTTTTCATTAGTTAACTACAACGCTAGATGCCTACAAATACTATACACTGTCCCTTTTAAATGCAAAAACTAACAGATAAGAGGCACATTTTACCTAGAGCCAGCCACCACTGCCACACCGTTGGAAACTCCAACATCACTGCAACATGGAAACAAAACATGCGGTTTAATAACACATTTTTTTTGTTATATGTGTGTGTACCTAGGTAGATGTGTTTGTTACATTGCCACTCACCTAGGCTGGTGATAATAACATGCAGAAGTGTGACTGTGAGGGCATAGTCCCATACCCGCCTCTTCACCACTGCAGCAAACAAAAGGCCGCTGCAAAAGTAAGTGAGCTCCAGTGATAGGAGGTTTACTGAAAAATACCAAACCAGGAAGAATACATGAAGTTAAAAAAGTTATTGCAAATAGTTGATCATATTGGCTGCACTCACCCAAGTATTTGGAGTTGGATTCAGCGGGTTCGGTCTTAAAGTCAAATGGAATCAATCCGTCAAAATTATCCAACCTACATGAAAAGAGAGAAATATGCAATAAGAAGGGAAAGTACTGTAAGGAATTACAGGAAAGTTTGTTAATCGTCTGTAAAATGTGAACACATCTCAGCTCTTATGTTGTCTACCTTGCAACAGGTAGGGTGTCTCCAGATAAACACTATGGTGCAGATAAAGTAACAGAATCACCTCTCTGGAGTCACTAGAGCAAAGGTGGATCTACGGCAAGATAAGCTGCAATGGGGCCCTTGTCAAGAAAATATATCTGGCCCTGTACCCCCTGCTGTCTGTGGTATATGTATGCATCCCATAACCTCCAAATACAAACTGCGATCTACACAGGGCATCATATTTCACCTACAGAACAAGACATACTGCCTGCCCTGGTTTTCATTTTCAAAAACACTATTTCATTTACATGCAGAGAGAACATTAAACAAAAGAAGAACGTTCTTGAAGTATTTACAGTATGATAATGATGCTTTCAAAGGGTGGTGTGCCTGCGCGCATGCGTGTGACAGATCCTCACCTGAAGGCACCGAAGCACACACTCCCAATCATGTAAAAAAGAGAGTAAAATATGACCAGACATAGCAGGAGATTGAAGAACACGGTCTGTGGGAATGAAACAGAATATATCACAATTCTCCATCTAATTTGTGTAATAGATATCAACACATGAGTTTTCAACACTAACCCAGAGCTATGCAGTCCTACAGTGTAGGCTATCTGCAGTAGGAGGCAGACAGCGACTTTATCTGCAAAACCTGACTTTACAGTTATGCTTACAATCCTTATAACGAAAACAAATAGGCATCGGACATAACCGTACTTGTCACGTCCTCTTTATTTTCTACAGGACATTATTTAGCTTGTATTCAGTCGAACCCGACTGTTAACAGAGAAATGTTACACATGACACATTCACTGTCCTCTTACCTTGGACTCGACCGCTTTGCTTTTGAATGCCATTTCATGGTTTTTACGTGATGTAATATTACAAAATAATCCAGGCTGCAGCAGCACGATATACAACCTCGTTAATCCCCTTGAAAAATTGACTTCTTCTGCCATCTAGCGATGAACACAGGACACAAAATGCAGCGCCGCCGCTTCTACAACCGAGCATTGAACTAATTTCACCTCATATCTGGGCGGCCTTTGTTGACAGAAATAAAGACTTTTCTCTCCATATAACTATAACTTGTTTGCTAACAAGGGTAAGCATGGTCTCGCAAACTATGACGATTTTGTGTGTAGACGGAGTGTATTTCATAAAAATTATGGCTAAATCGGCCCATAAAATCTGTATCTTTATTACACACCGGAGAAACCATAACCGCCCTATGTGGGAGGGATTGAATACTGCAGGAGATGATATGGTTCAACATTACCATCACCGACCCAAAAAATACTTTTAATTCATCCTAAAAACCACAGGAAGGAATACACGCCCATAGTAATCCTACTATTTAATTAAATGGTTGGACTGCCACAAAAAAATCCCAAAACTATCATCCAGTAGCCTACTAATGCAAATTGTAGGTGATCACACAGTCCGATACACTGGCTTTGTCGATATTACATTCCGGACAAATGTAACCCTGCAGTAGTCATTTGGCATAACACACGGGTTTTATTATGCTAAACTCAGTGTGTGTTTTTATCCTTCCGACTTCTTTCAACGTTACTGCAGAAGACAGCTCTCATACGCACCAGCCGACATAACTGTGGATATGTTTTAAGAGCCAAACTAGTGCAACGTCTTGTGTAGTAACGTTTTTTTAGGTCGTTTTTAGGTTAGAAAATGTCACTTCGGTTGATTTGACCGGCCTGAGTGTTTAATCCTACAGTTAGCAGCGCCGTATTTAAACTGATTATCGCCTGTGCTCGGACTACATCTACACAAATCAGCTGTTTTACGGTAGGGTTTACTGTAACACCAGTTAACGACAGGGGAACCGCTCCTCATCGGTTATGGAACACACTGCGGTCCCCGCGCTCACTGATACACTGTCGTACTTCTTTAGGGAATTACTTCTTTGGCAGTTGTGAGCAAAACGGGGATATAAGCTTCAGTCCATCGGTAGAAATCGTTATATCGGAACTGAACAGAGTTGTTGGGCGTGTTATAAGTGTAAACAGGCCTAGTATTGACCAGCGATAGTAAACTGAACTTTTCCGAGACCCAAAGTTGTCAGGCAGCGCATCTTGCACGCATGCGCATCCTTCTATCCAGCAGCTCTAAATAAGAGTTAAAACAGAAACGAGGTGAGTTCCACATTTTAAACAATACTGCCTTTAATACTAATTTATTGTTATTAGCATTGGCACACTTTGGAAAAAGCGGCATTCGTCTTGCTTATTAGTTTACGTTATTTCCACTCTGATTTAAAACGGCGAGAATAAATCGGTTTTTTTCAAGTTTCTATTGAAGAAATTAATCAAGCAACAATGTTGAAGCTCGTAACACTAGCGTGATGTTATTGTGCGTGTGTGTGATATTGTGCGAAATATTGGTGTTTTGCATTATGCGTTTTCCTATTGTTATTAACCGGGAAACTTATTTATTACAGATTGTCCTTAGCTGGCAGCATCCAGTCACAATGCTAGGGCTAGCTGTCTAGCAAACCTCAGTTCAGTTGAACGGAGTGCAGCTAGCTGACTGTTAGCTTCATGTCAGCGCTAGCTAGCAACCTGGGCTGACATTCCGTGACAAGGGGAAAGTGAAGAAAATAACTCGAGTGACGGAAAACACAAAGTCAGGAAATTACACCGCAAGCATTTGCTTTTGTTCGACGTGTAGCAGCTTTGCATGATTTGTTTAAATGGGTAACTTGAGTAATTTACATAGTTTAAACGTGTTGGTGGCCTCTTCCTATGCTCCGCCATTTTGTATAAGACGAATGCTAATCATGGGCGCTCCTACAGACACTTTATTAATGGCTAGAATAAAACTGAGGTATCAAGTGGAAAGTCAAACTTAACCAAGATACATTAGCTCGGGCTGTTGTTTACTTTTCACATGCTTATGACCCTACATGCAAACAGAAAATATCTCCTTAATTCAGTATTGTACATGCGTCAACAGTAAAACGTTATTTCGTAATATTAGTCGGATTAAAACGCTCTTAAGTTTGGCCAGTCAGTGCAGGAAACAGTGTTTTCTTTGAAAATGATAAACAAGTGACCCTCTCAGTTGTTAATAACCAGGCAAACAGCCGGTTTTAGGAGATACTGTTAAAACGAGGAAAAGATTAACTTATGTGATTAACTTCAAGTTAAGACATCTTTCCTCCTGTTTGTCAATAGTCCCGAGGACGGTTCACTATAATGGGGCCGTTTGTGCAAGCATTTCCCTCTTAGTTGACCAGCAAAACAATATTATTATTGACTGTTTGTGTCAAATCGAAGTGCATGGTGTCCTGCAAGCCAGCACACAGTCGCCATCTAGCTGTGATGTTGGGTAATGTTTGGTAATGCTGTTTACAAGTCCATGTACAAACTGCATTCGTAGTTTGGAGCACTTTGTAGGTAAAACCAACCGGGGGGCTGATCCCCGTGATGATCACACACATTCAGCAAAATAGACGGAAAAGAATGGCATAATTTAAGTCATAGTTTTAGACTGAACCTTTCTATTCATCCTCTGTCACATTTTGAACATCTTAGTGTTTTAGCATCAGTTGAGAGTATATTTAATGTGACTGTTATTATGTTTTTGCAGGTTGGTGATATCAGAGGAGTGGGAATGACCGACACCCCACCCAGTGATGGCCCCTCCCAGGGAGCTGAGTTTGATATGATGGGTGCCCTGGACTGGAAGGATGGTATTGCAACGCTGCCAGGAAGTGACATCAGGGTACGAGAGAGATTTATGATCCTGTCCAGGATAATGTGTTTAATGTTTGTGCTTTTAGTGTCTGATCAGACACAGATTTGTAAGAGCAGAGTTCTGTGTTATAGCTAAGGTGGGCCACCTTGCTTGAAATGAAAACCATCTCTGTTTACTCTCTAAAAAAACAATAATGAAAGAAAACATTAACCTTGATAACTGCTATATTACACAGGGCATGTTATATATTTTAGGAGTGTGACTCATATTTTGGCTGTCCTCTAGTAACTTGATTCATAAAGAGACAAGATCATTTAGGAGTGACCTATCTGTGATGAGCATACCTGTTACACCTTACTTGTGTCTTTCAGTTCCGCATGACAGAGTTTGGGACTCTTGAGATTGTCACAGACCTGGAGGTCAAAGGTCAGAAGCCAGAGCCTAACCGCAAGGCCTTGGACCCAGCACAGTCTCACACGCCCACTCCTCCACCGGAGGGCCAATCACAGACTGGCACAGCTGCAGCTAAAGCCAATCAGAGTCAGCCAGGATCGTCTCAAAGTAAAGGTATGATAGCACATGTTTAACCACTAAAAGTATGTTTTAGTAAAGATGTGCAGTTTTTTCTTTAAATGCTGGACCTGTCAGCTTTAGCCCTTCTTTGTGCTTTGTCTTCTAGCCCCCGGTCCTGTGCTTCTGTCTCTAGAGGAAGGCCCCACTATGGAGGGCCCCAGTGTGGAGGTTGGTCCCAGTGTGGAGGTTGGCCCTAACGCAGACACGGGCCCAAACGGGGAGCTGTCAAGGTGCCGGGCCTGTGGTGGCCGTGTTCCCCGGGACGCCCTTCTTCAGGGCAAATTCTGTAGCTCTATTTGTGCCCAGCCCTCCAGCGGCAGGTAAAATCCCACACCTGATGTCATTTCATGTTTTTTGTTATCTTTCAGATTTGTCTTAACACCAGCCACATGTTTGGTTTCTACAGATCGTCTCCAGCAGAAGCAAGGGAGAGTCAAGCAGTTGAGGGTGAGAGGCTGGGTAAACGTGTGCGCAAAAAGAGGAAAATCTATATGGATTCTGGTGATGAAGAGGAAGACAACCAAGAAGAACCAGAGGTAAGGAGCATATGTTTAGCGTTTTTGTATTGTTTTTTAATCAGTGTTGCTAACCTTAGAGCTACAAGCCCCTCAAGTGTTCAGTGTTTTGCTGTAACCACTGAGGTCGTGCAATTTTAATAATTTATCTCTTCAACTTTAACTTGAGAAAACACTGAAGATGGGTGAGAAAATTGTGGACAGTTATGATTTTTGACATTTTCTTACATTTTTGCAGGAAAAGGCCAAGACGACCAAGGGAAGAAGAGGTGCCAAAATTGCTAAACTGGGTATATACAGCTCAAGATAACATTTCATGTCTTTCCTTTATTTTTACAAGTCCTAAAGATGCTGTAAATCTGTAAGTGTGACGCAAGGAGGGTATATAGATGGCAGTTAGTATTTATTTAGTATTAGTTAGGTTCTATCAATATTATGGGCATGTTTTCACATGACTCTAAATATGTGTATGTTTCTCATGATTGTGATTGAGGTTCTCATGCACAGTCTACTGTACATAAAACTTCAGTGTTTTTGCCCCACCGTCAGTGACTGCCCCAGCCAATAAGAAGCGGGCATGGAGCTGGCCGGCTTACTTGGAAGAGGAGAGAGCCATCGCTGCTCCTGTTAAACTATTCAAAGAGGTATTTTCGCCCATAAACACTGGCCAATTTTTATATACTTTTACAAACCAGATGGTTTTGTTTATTTTGTCCATGACAAGCCAAATCATGACTGATCTGTGATTGAACATTTGTCTTGCAGCACCAGACGTTTCCTCAGAGCAGGAACAGTTTTAAGGTGGGGATGAAGCTGGAGGGGCTGGACCCGTCCCACCCCTCTCTGTTCTGTGTACTATCTGTTGCAGAGGTACGTGTGCTAATAGAACACATCTATCTTTATCCCTGTTTATAATAAATAATCTGACAGTCCATTTGCCTTTCAGATCCAAGGCTACAGAGTAAGGCTCCACTTTGATGGTTACCCAGAATGCTACGACTTCTGGGCCAATGCTGACTCGTGGGATATGAAACCAGCTGGCTGGTGTGAGAAGAATGGGCATAAGTTATTGTTGCCGAAAGGTATTCACAAACACACACAGACCGACACATCTATCCATGATTTTATAACAGTGTTTATTTAGTCTAAGGAAACCAAAAATGTTCCTTCCCAGATGTTGTCAATCATTTATTGTGATTATATCAACATGCAGTACTGTTGACCAAAAAAGTCACAGCAAAAATAAAACATTTACCAAAATCTCTTTTAAATAAGACGAACAATGTAAGCCTTTTTGTTTCCTGTGTTGCAGCAGCCAAATCAGGATTTTAACAAGAAGCACACAATGATTAATGAGTTTTGGTGACAACATCAGGGCTTGAGTGAAAGACATGGGGTGGTATTTTGAGTAGTTTGAAACGCTCAATAACAATTCAACACTTTTACTGAATGGGCTTTATTTGACAGAGATAATACTAAAATGCCCAGATTGTAAGTCAATTTAGCCTTAATTAAAGAAACAACAGGCTGAAGTTAACTTAATATGATAAACTGTCAAGGAATTTTACACAGGACAAAGATTAGATAAAAAAATTGCTGAGAAAAATGTACAGTATTTTACAAACAACATAACTGAGTGATATTCGTCCTGTAGGTTGTAAGGACGGAGACTTTAATTGGAGCATGTATGTGAAGAACTGCAGGGGTCAGCTGGCCCCAAAACACCTTTTCAAAAGCCTCAACACAGTGAGTTAAAAGCACTATAAATCCTAAAGTCATCAAATGTTTCTTAAAATCAGGTTTTATAAGAGTGCTTTATTTTTTATTTCAGTCTGTGACTCCATCTGGATTCAGAGCAGGGATGAAGCTGGAGGCGATCGACAGGAAGAACCCCTCGTTGATCTGTGTAGCAACCATTGCTGCTGTTGTGGACAACCGACTGCTCATTCATTTTGATAACTGGGACGACACATATGATTATTGGTAAGAGCCTGGTTTAAGACTGGAGGAATGGCTATCATCCAGGGGTATCCCCCAGTCCATTTGCAGGACTGCTGTATATTTCAATTCAAGTGAAATCTACTGTAGTTTATTGTCTGTACGAGCATAGTGCCTGGGTTTTTAAGGTGTGGAAAAGTGTTAAAATATAGGAAATTAAGTCTTGACAAGTTTAAATTGGACAAAAGGTCCTGGAAAGTTGTGCAAACATTAACATCTACAAAGTTTTACAGCTAGAACACATTTAGAAAAGTCTAACATTGGGCCTTTACTGTGTTCCTGGTTACCTAGTGGTTGTTTTTTGTGAAGGTGTGACGCTAGCAGTCCATATATCCATCCTGTGGGTTACTGTGAAGAGGCTGAGCTAACTCTGACTACCCCAGCTGGTAAGACACAGACCAAGACACACGTGGGTCAGTATAAATTCCTTTAATATACTATAGGGAATGCAGAATCTAACACTGTCAGTAATAAATACTAATACCAATTTTATATTATGCTGAAATGATTGTTTGCATGTAAAATCAATGCTTGTCAAATATTGTTGCTACTGTTTGAAATAACAAGTAGAAATAATGTAAATGTATTGAAGCTAATAATAATTAAGTCAGTTCCTGTGGATGTCTAGATTGTTGTTTTTGATTCAAAGGTCAAAGGTCACAAGTCAGACTCTAATGCCTTTTAACTCTCTCACTGCAGAATATAAGCAACCTAAAGGTTTCTCATGGGAGAAATACCTGGAAGAGACGGGCACACAGGCTGCTCCTGCTCGGGCTTTCAAACCGGTACAGTTCTCACACGCAAATATATGAATACACACAAATAATCATAATATGGACGATAGTGGTCTTAATATGGTCATGTGATTGTGGTTCTGCTTGTGTTTGCAGCGACCTCCACATGGCTTCCAGATTGGGATGAAAGTGGAAGCTGTGGATAGGAGGAACCCCATGCTCATCCGTGTTACTACCGTAGTGGACACAGAGGACCACCGACTAAAGGTACAAACTTTCCACTCAGCGACATCATTTTAAGATGAAACAGAAGCAAAATAAATCCGTCAAGAATGTTGTCTTGAACTTATAGTAAATAAAACATCATACTAGAAGACGGCATAAACGTCTGCCAAGTCTTGCGACATTGAACCACAGAAAGTAAAACAGACCTTGACATTCCAGGAGATAGCACAAAGACACAGTTGTTTCACAATAAATCCCTTTTGTTTTTCAAACCCAGTCTAGTGTTGTGGATTTAAGTAACAAGAACAGGAATTAAATATTGCCGTAGATCAAATGCCATTTATCTATTTAGCCCAGGTCCAATGTCCAACAGGAATTTAGATGAAAAGCCAATGATAAGTTTTTAAATGGTAGTCAAAAAGTGTTTGAGTTAAGTAAAATAAATAAATAAAAAGTAATACAAAATAAAAAACATGTATAACTTGTTAAGGATGTGTTTCAACTTCTGTGTAATTTTGCTTAATGCACTGTCCTCTCATCTAGATTCATTTTGATGGCTGGAGTTCAGAGTATGACTATTGGGTGGAGACGGACTGCCCTGATCTGCACCCTGTAGGATGGTGCCAGAAAACAGGACACCCACTGCAATACCCGAATGGTGAGACTCCCTCACTCGCTCACTCACTCACTCACTCACAGTTTTCCTCTGCCTTCATTTAATATCTGTATGAAGTCTTTAAGGAAAATGGTCTTCCTTCAGTTCTTTGCATAGATTTATGAACATCCCCCGTGTCTGTTTGTGTATATATTTCAGGCTCCACTGAGTTGGTGACCGCCCCGGGACAAGGATGTCCTACCCCAGGATGCAACGGGGTTGGCCACATTAGAGGACCTCGCTATGGGACACACTACACGTTAGTAGCACATACTCTGTATTGTGATTTATTTTATTTAGTTGCTGTTGTCTTTGTTTCTCATTGTTTTCAATCTTCATGTCCTATGGCACATATGAAAAAAATGTCAGATCACTTTATTATATTCTTCTTTATCCCTTTCAGTTTATTTGCACCTACCCTTTGTTGTAATGTCCTTTTATCCTACCTTTTATATATGCTTTGCAAAGTGCTATTTTTTCATTTACGATGTATTCATCTTATTATTATAATCACTGTTGCTCAAGCAGCACATTAATAGTTACGATTAGTTGTTATCAATGTAAGGAGACTGTGTATGTCATGTGTGGATGAGGAAAAGGAAAGTCTCATATTTCAGATATAATGTATACTTGTGTGGGCTGCCTTTAGTTTAAATGTGTTGCTTGTTTGTGTGCGTGTGGGAGTTTTGAGTCTTTAAAGTGATATCGAGTTACTTTTTTTTTCAGCCTATCTGAGGCTAACAGTTTAATTGCAGAGCCAGAAAAGAGTGGGGGTTGTTTTGGACCTGGTTATAGTTTGTGTCAGAGTTCCCGTTAGAATATTTTTTTGCCGGTCAACATGTCCGTTAAAGTTGAAATCTTCCGGACAAAATTAGATAAGTGCCGGTTAAAGGTCTTCTTTGTTATTTATTGAGCTTTAAAACAAATTGATATGATTCGACATTAAACAAACTAATTATAGTAGATTAACTACATTATTCAAAAGTGTACAGTAATTTACAAAAACGCGGGAATAATAAACGGAGCGCTCTCTCCTTCTCCTGACAGCCCGTCAGTATCATGCAGCTCGCGGATCCAGTAATGAGTGACCCGACAGTAAAACTAAACATATCTATAACTAGTTTAGGTAGTTTGAGAGGTAATTAAAATAGCTACGTGTGATTTTCTAACCTGAAGTGTGTTTTGCTCTGCTCGCCGCTGCAGGGGATCATGCAGAGCTGCGTGTCGACTCGTCAGCAGCAGCCGATCTCTCTCTCCTGTCAGATTAGACTTTACTCGCATTTATGTCCATATCGATCAGATCTAGCTAGTTCTAGCTAATGATATGACTACCTGCTTGTTAAAAGACACCTAAACAATAAGCGTCGCTATGCAACCGGATGAGGCCACAAAGTATAGCGCAGCATTATGCATTTGTTTACATGCCCACCGGAACCCCGAGGCATTACCAACAGATCAACGCACAATCAACCCATACAGGACATCTCTTTCTCCACATTAAGTGTTAGACATTAGAATTGACAATTTTTGTCTGTCACATACTCTTTTGTCTGTCACATACTATTCTTGTCTGTCACATAAGTGGCGCAACTGATGCGGTATTGCGCTAAGGGAAAATTATTTTGACCGGACATTTTGACCGGAGAGATTTAGATTTGCCGGACTTCAGCATATTTTACCGGTCATTGTCCGGTAATTACCGGCTAACGGGAACTCTGGTTTGTGTGTCTCTTGTGTGTGCAGTGAGGTGAGCTGTCCCTACTCGGATGTTAATCTGAACAAAGAGGGCCTGCTGCCAGATCGCCTCAGCGGAGAACGACCCGTCGCCCTCAGTGGACCTCACCCACGTGGGCGACGTCCGGACTTTCCCACAAACACTACGACGCAGAGCTCCACAACGTCAGAACAGCCCGAGGGAGCTGAAGACCCCCAGAACAGGTTAGCGGCTGTCACTCTAAAAACACAGCATGTACATAAAAGGGACCGATAACCCCCAAGGAAAAAAGAAAATAGTTCCTAGATTAAACTGCTCACAAAAACGGATGGAGATTATGGATCATAGAGAGTTAACCGGTCATGTTATCTGTAAAGAGACGTTTTTAAAATATATTTTATTTGCTGCTTTGAGCACCACAAGCCGAGTGCCATCTAGCTCTGTTTATTTGATTAAGGCAGGCACCTCTACTTTTAAAAACAAATTACCAGGACTGATAAATAGCCCTCCAGGGAGGAGCATAAATATGTTTTTTAGATTAACTGTTCCTTTTTTCAAAAACACTCCCAAGATAACTTCTTTTAGCGTTTCAAATGCAACTCTATCCAGTGGTCTGTATCTGACATCGGGTTATCTGTGTTGCTAGGAAACCGGTGACAGTGGAAGCTGAGCGTTTGGGACGCACCGCTCAGCCGGAGCCAGCAGGTGGCGCCAGCGAGCCGAGCCACAATGGAACCAGGCCCAAACGGTACCCTCACATCCAGCTCTACTGCTGTAGTGTAATGTCAAAGATGTTCTCCTGTGTCAGAGAGTGACAGTTTTGATGTCTTTTCAGAACTGCTCCCGTTCCCAAATACTTGAAAATGCACTACGTTAAAGAGGAGATCGGCCACGGCAAAGGTGCGTGTGAATGCGAAAATGAAACGTGATAAATCATGTAAATCAGCACCTCACTCCCACTGACTGCTGCCCTTCCTCCCTCCCCCCCCCTCTCTCTCCGCAGCCTCTCCAGATGCCATCTCTCTCCAGCAGGCCCTCCACGAGTCAGTGTTCTCCCCCGGCCTCTCCGCCTCCCCCCCCTCACCGGGTGGCTCTCTGCTGGGACAAACACTGCCAGCTGCTGCCTGAGGTCCTCGGGCTGACTGCCAAGCGAGTAGCCACTTGGAGCGCTGAGGAGGTCGGACATGCTTACACACTCGCACTGCGCCAACACATGAGAAGCAGACATGCTCCTCATTCACTCCCCTACATGAAGGCAGCTAGTTGTTCAGAGAAGCTGTGCATGAATATTCAAACAGAGCCTTTCTGATTCCGAGATGGTGCTCGCTTTCCACCTGTCGGTTCCATAAAGGCATACAAGCCTCTCTGATTTGTAGCAGGGCTGCTCCCAGTAGTTTGAAGCTTGGAAGCTGAATTCATTTTTATTTTATTTTTTTATTATTCATTGTGTTCTGACATTCAGAGCCAGTATCTCTGCACAGTTGCACATTAAAAAGACACACAAAATGACACAATTATTTGTAATATAATGTTTGTAGGATTAAATTCCAGCTGATGGTGCGTAGGATTGTTTCAGACTCATGTGATACAAACATTTCCATTAACTAACTCACCGCAAGAAAAATAAAACGGTTTGCTGACCTGCTTGCCCCCAAAAACAAGGATACAAAATACATTTACACTTACAATACAACACAATAATAATCTGTATTTTCATAAAATATGACGAAAGACATTCTCAGCTTCGTTCGAACCCATGAACAAAGGCTTTGAATGTTATGAAATAAATCATAAAAAAATTATATTTGCTACATTTCTAGGTTAAGATTTAAAAATGGTTTGTGTTTGACAGCATTTCTGGAGCGCTTTGCTGAAAGTTATTTCCTTTTTTCATCAGGTCGCCACATTTGTCAAAGGTTTACCAGGATGTAAAGAACATGCTGCTATATTTAAAACAGAGGTAAGCACTTCAGATTTAACTGATTACATTATTTCATTATCAATAAAGAGTATTTTTCTATTCTTATTGTTACTTTTTTTAAATTAAAAAGCCCTACATGTCCTTAAATTGTTAAGTGCTCTTTTGGATTGTTGCTATAGTTTCCAGCTTTTAGTTGAGTAGCTGGATGCTAAAACTTCAAACCCAGACACACAGGTGGCAGCAATAAGCTCTTAATGAATTCAATGTTTATCCGTGGCGCCACCTGTGTGTATCCCCATGTCTGACATAAAGCAGATGGAAAAAGGGTCTGACATTTTTACACCATATTGAATCACATTTTTTCATACCAGTCAGTGTGCAAAGTTGCCTTGTTAGTCTGTTTGCCTTGCAGCTCTTCGTAATTGTATAACGTTCTCTCCACCTTCATTACATTTGCTTAATAACAGGGTGCGTACGGGTGCTGGAAATCCTTGAAAATGCTTGAAATTGTACGAGGTGTTTTCAAGGTTTGAAAAGTGCTTGAATTTTGGGAATGGTGCTTGAATTTGGGATAAAGTGCTTGAAATTGTAAATGCTTTACTTCGCTTTTTAGATTAAAAGAAAATAAAGAAGTCGGAGCGCGCTTAATTGCTTCGCTTTTACATAAAACAGCTCCGCTCCGGCCTTCCCGCGCAATGCGCGTGACCGGCAAGTGTTTTTGTTACGTGTGTGACCTGGGCATTCTGATGAGAGTGATCGATGACAGTATGCCAGGAGGTTGCCGTTTCAACGAGCGTTGGCTAGCAGAAGACAAATACAAGACATGGCTAAGACGAGGGTCAAGCGAAGCCCAAGAGTAGCCTCCTGCAAAGTGTGCAACAATAACGATGCGAGAGTCTGCGCTGACGAGCCACACACCACACGAAAGGTACGCCAGAGTAGAGCATTTTAGATTAGGCTATCGTTGCATGTAAAATACATGACACTTTTCTCTGTGTGCGGCAAAACAAGCTCGCCAAAATGGCTTCACTAGTCTGGCAGTATTTTAAGTGTCCGAAAGTGACAATAAAATAGCGGTATGCAACGTGTGTGTGAAGCAGAAATCCTGCAGCTCCACCCGCTGTGACGGACCGGTGAGCGAAGCAGAACACACATTAAGAGTTAGACCTAACACACTTAGCTATTTTATCTACCTCTGGAACAAGCTGATTCCGGCGATCGGCCCCAAAATTGGCGATCGGAGCATCCCTAATAATTGTATATGATATGTTTTATAATGATTGATCATTAAAGTGTTCTCAAAGCTGGTAAAGTTGCAGCTAGTTTGAATGACTTTGTATACTACAGAGTAGCTTGTGAATTTACTCCAGGTGGAACTAAAGTCTGATTTAACACTTGATTATATTTCACATCATTCATCCACATCTGTAAAGTAACTAAAGGTATTCAATACATGTAGTGGAGTAAAAGTAAACCATTTACCTCTGACTTGTGTTTACTGCCAACCTAAAAGTACCTCAAAAATAGTAATCAATAATGTATTGAAAAGTTATTTGGCTGATTGTTTTATATTGGCTCAGCCAGGTTATATGGGATGCCCAGTCTACGTACAGATGGGTCTCATTTTGAAATATTAAACTTAGTTTTCTTTTCTAAAAATGTAAATTGTTCATCCTCATGTAGAATGCTATTGTGAAACACACATTTAGTTGTTTATAGCATAAAGAACATCAGATTTAATGTGAGGTAGGGAAATAATCATTGGAGTATAAGTATGTGTATATAAATATGTAATTTACAACAGCTGTAAGATGCTTGAAAAGCTTGAAAATGCACCTTGAAAATGCTTGAAAAGTGCTTGAATTTGACTTTGGAAAAGGTGTAAGAACCCTGTAATAAGTCATCCCTGAATCTTCAACTCATGTCTTCTGATTGTAATGCTACCCAAAACTTTGTTAGTCAAACTGTATGCAATCCTTTATTCTCAGAATGAATTGACTTAAAGGTCCCATGTCATGGCCATTTCTACTGATCATAATTCCATTGTTGAGGTCTACTAGAATAGATTTATATTGTGCAATTTTCCAAACTCACATTGGTTTCTCATACAGCATCTCTGTATAGCATGTGTATTCACTCTCTGTCCTAAACGGCTTGTTGGAGCTCCTGCCCCCCCCCTCCCTGTGAGCCCAGTGTGCTCTGATTGGTCAGCTCGCCCACTCTGTTCTGATGAGTCTACCACCGTTACAGCGGAACATCAGTGATTATGTGTTACAATGGCGTTAGCAACCAGAAAATGACACCAGTAATGATAAACAGATGAGAATGCTGCATGGGGTCTGGGTGCCGTGTTGGCGGGACGTTGCGAGGCTCGCTGCTGGAGCGGACAGTGTGAGCTGGGTTACTGGTGTGGTTTCCTGGTTGCTGCGTGGGCTCGGCGAAACCCAGCCCGAAACCAGCCAGAGCACACACACACACCCTTGCCGCGTCCCGCCGTCTCAGGCTGAGAAATCCCCGGAGCTGCAGCTGAGAAAAGATAGTGTGTGTGTAACGGCTCCGCGGACGTAACGTAACGGCTCCGCGGACGTAACGTAACGGCTCCGCGGACGTAACGTAACGGCTGCGCGTATTGGTCCATTTGGACCAATGGGTCCATTTGAGTCGTCGTTGCGTCACTTAGTACCAGGAAGAAAACGAGAAATCTCCAACGAGGCGTTCTGGGGCAGCATAGACAGGTCTTATCTGTGTTAGAGTTTTACTCGCTACAGGGTGTACTTTGAGGGTTTGTGACTTTGCAGACCGTTTACATGCAGAAAAACCTTCATAACACACAAGGGGACGGGTAATAACTGTAAAAGCATGACATGGGACCTTTAATATCACATTCATTGATCATTCAGTCCCTTATGGTGACTTGTAGAGTTTGAGTTGTATACTGATGTTCATTAAAGCCCAATAAGTTATTCCCAGAGCATTTATTACTAAGAAAATTCATTAAAGTCGATGCGTTTTCATGTGATGATAAAGTCATAACAAAATCAAAACATGGTTGTCGAGTTTTGTTAATTGCAAAGATTTTGCTTAGGATGTAACTTCTCTTTTTGACAGTTAGAGACTAGCTTGTGAATAAATGAGCCAGATATTGATCTCAGGGGTCGGAAGAGACCATAAACAGAGTTGAATATAGCACATTCACCAGGTGGCGAGAAACACTAATAATGACTGTGTTCTTGTGACTTGTTTTTAATGATGGTTAATATTTACTAAACGAGTCTGGTTACTCTGTAAAAACTCAGTAATACGGAGCAACATTTTTCTTTCCCTTTCCTTCTTAGCAAATAGATGGCGAGTCCTTCCTGCTGCTCACCCAGGCGGACATCGTCAAGATTCTGTCCATCAAGTTAGGGCCCGCCCTCAAGATCTACAACTCCATCCTCATGTTGAAGAACGCAGATGAAGAGTAGAAACTCCAGAGACTGAAGAGGAGTCGCTCCCTCCTTTCATCGACACTCGGCTATGAAGACTTTTGATCAAATCAGCTTCAACAGCTTTTGTCTGTGGAGCTCTGCGACAGAGCGGAGCAGCATCACCAGAGACAGAAGCGGAGGCCATCATCTCAGAAAAACGTCCACCCCCCCCCCCCCCCCCCCCTCTCTCCATGATGGACAGTGCTGATCAACCTGAGGGAGAGGTCACTTCGATACTTTAAGTTTTCTTGATCTCTATTGTGTTTGTTTACTGAATCATTTAAAAAAGAACTACAGGCACCTTCAAAGCTTCTTAACATTGTACAGTTTATGTTCATTGGATTTAGTGTTGCGTTAATGAACTGTGATGGTGCTCGGGCTAAGAGCAGATGGAACAAGAGCATTTGTGCTTTGTTGCATTTTTACTTAGCAACAGACATTTTTTTTTTTTTAAAGGTGCAAAATACAATCGTGGAGGGCAAGAGGTTTTTAAAATGTGAAACCCAGTGGAGCAGAAGCACTATGTAGTTCAGCTGTTCTCCTCTAGATGGAGAGCGTGGGCAGCTCCACGGGCCCGCAGGCGAGACGCTTTGATTAGATTGGAGCTGAAGCTTGGATTGAAAGGGGGATGGTAAAGACTTTGTGTGTGTGTGCAGATGTGAGAGTGTTTGAGAAATAAGGGTGTAATTTCCCCGTGTTATGTTCTGGTCAGAGGATTGTTGTGTGGCAGGCATGGTGAAGGGCTAAATGTTCGATCAAGAAACCTTGCCGTCGTTTAAAGTTGAACGAGACAGCTTTATCTCTGTCTCCTTTGTTTGTTAATGGGAACGGCACATGAAAATGAATGTTTAAAAAACAGCTTTTCTGTTGTTTTGTTTATATTATCTTGTTTATTTTCATTCACATTGTAAATAGTATACAGCTACAAATGGACTGTCCTCGCTCCCTAACAGAGTTTACTCCTGCTTGGTTATGCAAAGGCTTGACATCTGTCCACGAGGAGAGGACGTTGTGACAGTGAAAACATACGAGCCTCAATTCATACAAAGATTTTGAGAAAAAAAGAAACAAAAGAAACATTGTCAGTGTCTTTGTGAATCAGCGTGTACTTCGGCGAGTTGGAATGTGTACATCAGCAACTGTTTATATGCAAACGGCTTTTATTTATGTATTCTAATTTAAAGGGTAATGGTACGCTGTTTTTGGCTCCGAGGTAAGCTATGGCTCTTTGACGGAAAGTGTGTGAATGGGTGAAAATAAATGAGATGCACACTGTCTGCTGTCCTCATTCAACCTCTCTCACCTTACCACACACATCCTCATAAACCCGTCTTTATCTGCACATTTTAATTATTTACAGAAGGGGAAAACACATTGGCTTAAGTACTTAATGCATTTTTGAGGTAACGTACAGTAGTGTGACAAAACAAACATTACTTAAGGTCTATCTACTAACTTCTGTTCCTGTTTTTTGAGAGCTCAGTAGCTGTTGAACTTTAAGTGATGGCACGTTTAGGAAATCTGTGGCAGGGGCTCAACTTACTCTTCAATTTAATATTTCATCCACAACCAGTCGTTCCCAACCTTTCTGGTTCAGGCATCCTTTCAAAGAAACAGTGTCTCTCTCTAAACCTCTCAGGTGGTTTCATTTACATAATTGTTTAAAGAAGAAAAATTACTTGAGGCCTTGCGTTTTTATTCTTTCTTATTACATTAATCATCCCACGATGATGATGTACTGTATGACCCTTAAGACGCAGCTTGAGCCTGGAGTTGATAAAAACAACCACTAACTCCATTAACTGGAAAAGTTAAATGCTCCTTACTCATTACTAACCATCTATGTAATGAGTCCCTGGGCATGTACTGTTTTGTGTTCACATAAATAGCTTCAAGTGTGTTGGCCCACGGTTTCTGTGAAATGACAGTAAGTTGGCCTTTTGTGAGACCGAATGTTGCCATATGGCCTCAAAGTGGAAACTGTCTGGTTGTGTTTTGCTCACACATGACCCACATGCGCATCGGGCAAAACACATCACAGCTCACCCTCAAACCACCGTGCTGTGTGTTGCCTACACCTGACCCTTCAGCAAGCCTAAACCCCCCCCCTCCCCCCAAATGCTAGCCGGGGGCTCAGCTGTGTGCTGGCTGACATGACACCTGTTGACATTGCTGAAAACTGTGGCCCAGATACATTTAGCTAGGATGTGGTAAACTAATTCTGCAATACATTTCACAATTTAACACTGGTTTCGCATTGCACCCCTAAAAAGCATTGCCGGAGTCCGTTTAAAGTGGACCTATCATGCAAAATGCACTTTTGTACGTCTTTTATACATAAATATGTGTCCCCGGTGTTCCAGGGAACTCACCAAGTGTCAGAAAATACAACCCTCTCTCTTTTCCTCCGTACCCAAACATGACGCTCGTGCCTCGCCCCCCTCCTTTGCAGGGCGGCGTGGTCAGCTGCAGCGCATTTGCCACAGAATCAGCCCTTGCAAAAACAGGGCTGGAGGAGAGCAAATAGAGCGAAATGAGGCATGGCTAAAATGCATGATCTGTTAGGTATTTTGAAAAAAAAACTTCACAGACATGTTTTATATAGGTATGGCCCTAGGGTGACCAGGTGCCAGAAAGCCACAAGTGGGACAGAGAGTATGTTTGTGTGGGACATGTCAATGTAATGTTGACGCATGAACTGTCAACGGGGGGGGGGTTGGGTACACTGTGGACCTCTGTCGCCTGTCAGCGCAACTTACATAATGCCGTTTAAAACATATAATAATGGGCGGTGCCGGCGGTCAGCGAACCGAGCCGGCCTTTCTCCGCAGAAAAGCGTTTTGGCCAATCAAAATGAAATATGCGGGACATCGTCTCAATTTGCGTGACGCACCAAAAGTCGTGAAAATGCTGTGCAGTCCCGCGCAAAGCGGGACATCTGGTCACCCTACCTATAATATATTATTCAAATATAGCATGATAGGTCCACTTTAAAGTAAAAAGTTCACAATTTTTCACCAAACACAAGTCCACCTTTTGTTTAGTGGTGGTGACGTGAGTTATGCGATTCTTACAATGGCCTTTCATTTTTTTAAATTACTAAAGTGGTGTATATTGGGTTATGTCCTTTAAAAACTGTTATTTCAAGATAAACCAACATCTTTTGATTGTGTTTGAAATGCCACAGTTTATTTAGTTTTACAAGGTTTTTGTTTTAAATCTTCACTCTTCACTTTTGTACAGTTTGGCATATCTGACGATCAATATTTAACCCCGGCTGATATCATTAGAAATGTTTTGGGAAACACAAGCGGCGCACACTGTTTGCATATCTGGGAAGTGAGATCCAAAAGCAAAGCCGCCAATCAAGCTAATGGCCAAAGGCGCCACAAAAGAGAATTAAAGGGAAAGCTTCAAGATTGTAACTTTTAAGAAAAAAAAAAAGAATGAGAGCAGAGTCAAAGATATTTATTTGTATGTCAAAACTTTACGACTACATTGGCCACAATGCACGACAACCACCAACAGGTCAGTCAGACATGTGGGTGTGTTAAGCTAGTAGCGGCTAATGTAGCCTCAAAGATAGAAGGAGAGTTGTTAAGAGATCCGGTTAGCTCTCCTCTTTCTAAGTTTGTTTCATTTTTAAACTTGTAATCTTTCGCCCGAATCGATGATGCCTTACTGTAAGTGACATCACGAGGCAATTTCCAGAACATTTGCTGCCTGCAGCTACACAGCCACAAAAGGTATTTTACGACCTTTTTTCCCAGGCAGCAGTGAATCAATTTGATTTGTCACATGAAACTTTACAAGGTACATCTCCTGTGAAATGCACTTTTAAATCAGTGGAGTTCCCCTTTAAGACAAGGCAAGTTTATTTAAATAGCACAATTCAGCAGCAAGGCAGTTCAAAGCGCTTTACATAAAACATTAAAAGCATCGAGACAGAGCAAAAGAAACACATTAAAAGAAAATACATTTGAATACAAGTCATTAAAGAGCCAAGAGAATAGAAAATAGAACAAGATTTTTATAAAACGCATGCACAAATGATCACAGTGAAGTAATTATTCAAGCAAAATCCACACATCTGAGAATTGATTTTCATACCCTAAATAATAAAACTGAGATTATAAGGGCTGCTGTAAAGATCGAAAATAATGCTGCATATAATGTGAAGAAAATCATTGGAGACCCAACCTAGTGTTTTTATAACGAGATTCATTTCTGGTTACATTTGCTCTACATATTTCAGGTTTGTGCAGGAAGAAGGAGGCTGCTCCGTCAGTATCTCACTGGTGATCACTAAGAATAACCGGGCTCACCGTGGGACTGGCCTGGACCAGCCTCACATTCCCACGACCCCTCCTCTACTCACAGAGACAAATGAAAACACAGGCTGCAGAGGCGCTCCGGCAGAGGCGCAGGGAGGCGTGCAGAGTGGCTTTGCACCACTTTTAGTAAGACTGTTTTTTACTCTAAAAGCTTCATTTCTGGCTCTGCAGTGCGCGCTGTTGCGCTGCTCACGGGCACACGGTATGAAAAACGTCGTAATGTGAGGAGGAAAACACGGGGAAAGTCAGTATTTAACGCACGGAGTGGGAGGAATAACGAAACTCAGGGTTTGTTTGATTTTTTTTTATCATGCCGAGGATCCCGTTTCTGCTTCGGATTTACCTCCAAGACAAGGCAAGTACCCTGTCAGATTTTTCCATTGACTGCGATAAAGTAACCGGACAGTGATCTGCAGTGAATTATAGACAGCAACAGTGCCGTGGTGCAACATGAATTATAATATAACATTAAAGATGCATGGGTAAAAGCACTTATAAAACAGCAATTTGTCATCTTGCGTCCTGTTGAATCACCCGTAGCCTAGTGTTCACTCGCTCCGGGGGAAACGGAATCATGAGTTCAGACAACCCAACTAATGTGCCTCTTTATTTGTGACTGCAGTGACATTAACTCAAATCACGCGATCCTGAAACGGGTCATTCGTTTGTATTCCCATGATGGTGATGATGATGATGAAGAAGGTTTGATAGCAGTTCAGCCCGGGTTCAGAGGAGCTGCTGTGTGGCTCCACAGAGACACTGGGACTGGAGGAGCCACATGCCTTATTAAAGCTGATACTTCCTGTTGTGAGCACTGCAGTCGACTGTCTTCTCCCAAACACCTCATGTGCTCTCCCTTTGGGGCCGCATGCAACACTTTGTGACTGAATTATTGTATTTCTCTGTGTTCTGTTCAGTTTGAAGCCAGAGGATGACAGCAGCCAGTCCTCCCTGCAGCCCCACCTCCTCCCTCTCCTCCCAGTCCTCACCTGGTTGCCTCCCAGCATGCCAAAGGCACCTGAAGAAAGGCAGAGCCCTCCACACCACCCTGCCCCTGCGCTCCGCCCCGGGGGTGTGGCTCCTGCTGGGTGTGGTGGTGGTCCTGGTGGGGATGGCTGTGGCGGTGGCGGGCTACGTGTCCTCGCCACCGAAGCCCGTGGTGAGCGGGCGCGGCTCCACCCACATTGAGAGGATGAAGCTGGCCGGGCCCGTCGTCATGGGAGTGGGCCTCTTCATCTTCATCTGCGCCGCCACGCTGCTGTACGAGAACCGGGATCTGGAAGAAGTCCTCAGACGGGGGACGTGCGATGACCTGGAGGATCTGAAGGGGGGAGACGGCTGGGAGGATTCACAGGAGCAGCCCAGCTTCAGCTGTCAGGAGCAGTGGGAGGAGAAAGAGGGGGGGCAGTGGGCCGCTCCAACCCACACACTCCCCCTCTCGGACCAGAACTGTGGGACGCCTCACAGGAACACACACACCGTCAGCGGCAGGCCGTCACCGCCGCCTCCTCCTCCGGATGCGGGAGATAGAGAGGAAGAGGAGGATGAGGAGAAGGAAGGAAGATCAACCCTTCTGGCCCGAGTCCTCCACCACAAGGAGCCGACTCCTCACCCTCCCTCCCCCTGCCCCTCCATCTCCCACTCCTCAGTGTACTCAGACTCTTGCAACTCCAGTGAAATTAACTTCAACATACGGACAGGCCTTCCTCAACACTGAACTCATAACATGTGCATGATGAGATTCTTTGGAGGTTTCACGTGCGGACACACACTTAAAACGGGACTTTGGTGTCTTCAATAAACAGATGAAATGTTTGGTGGTATGTTTTAGTGCCTCCGAGTGGCGCAGTGGGTCTGACTCACTGTCTGTGAAGGGTGTTTTTGTCCTACATCGTTCTCTGACTCACCCACGTTTGAAAGATTTGGCGCTGTGGTGTTTGATGTCAACTCGCCATCTTGTTGTCTTTGAACTCACCCATGCCTGAAATCCCCAAAAGCCACTGCTTGTTTGACCATATTTGGACGTGAGGAGCATTGCTGAAAACTTATTTAGGTGCTGGGAGACGGACCAACTCACACACACACACACTCTCTCACACACACATGCAGATGTACTGCGTCTACATTTACTCACTAGAGATATTTTGGTTAAGAGTATGAGCACGATGAGGTCTTAAATGACTCTTTATCTAATCTCACACATTCTGTAATCTAGTCTTTATCTAGAGGAAATTGTGTCTGTGTAAACAAGAGAAGTGCACAAGGCCACACTCCTCTCACTCGACACCTACAGCCCCGCTATAAATACCAGCTGCTGCACTGTACACATGCAACTTTCAGTGTTTGACTGTAATTCAACTTTTTTTTTTGTATTCAGCTGCTCAGTTTCTTTTCCTTTTCTCGAGTGTGGTGAGGCGAGATCTTAAAGAATGTCAATCAGATGGTGGATAGAAGAGAAAAGAGCAATGACTGGGAAAAAAGAAAACCCTGTTAGGCTGCTATGACTTATTCCTGACGCAGTTTAACTGAGAAAAGCGGTCCTGTGAGTCGTGTAACTGAAGCCTCACACTCCCACCATCCCAACCTTTCATCTCCTCTCGCTTCATCATCTGATTCCTACGCTTTATTCAAATACCCCATCCTCCAGCTCAAGCCTTGGCTGCTGAAATATAGAGCAAATACAATGCAGAGGGAAATGTTTTTGGGTCCAATTAAGCAAAAGTCTGAGAGGTAAATGGGGTAGGATTTTAATTATCGCCAGCGTTTTCTCCCCCAGCCTTTAATTACGCAGGGGATCAGTCTGAAGGTTTTTATAGGTTCTTTAGGACTGCAGAGTATTTCCTTGTTGTTCTGGCCCATGCTGAGATACTGCCATCCAGATGACGACTGAGACTGAAGCTTACAGTCATTTGCAGACACACATTTCCCTGAAAGCAGCACCCACCTCCCTCTCTCTCACACACAGGGTTTATGTCAGTACATTATGCTGTTTTCAGACGCTAGATGTTTATTTCAGTGGCAGGTACGAGTCGGGGAGATGAGTCTGAATCCTGCAACAGGCTGCAGCTTCATCACACCCTCTCTCTCCTCACTCTCACACATACACGAGTCCTTCTCACTGTGAGAGATGCTCTGATGTGTTTACATTCAGGAGGGAACCCTGCAGGATGTCAGAGCTGCAACCAAAGATTATTCATCATGAATCTGCAACTTGTTTTCTGATTATCATGAAATATTTGTGTCTACACTTAATGGCCAGTTTATAATCTAGGTAAAATGCAGTTTCATTGGACATTACTGCAATAAATCATACTTTTATGAGGGTTATTATGTTCAAGAGGTCCATTATTCTAAGCATTATGCATGCTAATGTGTTTCTATTATTGTGTCCAGCCCATTTATATCAAACTCCACGTCTGTATAATGCAATATCGTTCAACTGCATCACAATCCTCCAAAAGTATCATAACATCTTTAAATTGCTTTATATTTATTAACCATTTCTGCTGTCAGTAGCAAGATGAATTTGTCCTAATACATATTTAGAGGCATCATTCCTCTTTCAGTCGGACACTAAACCGACCAGAGGCTGTTACATATCTTCACATACACACAGATAGTCCTGCGGCAACACAGATGTCAAGAAATCCTTGAGGTTTCTCCCCTGTGCTTGTACAACAGTGTTGTTACATAACTCAGCAAGACGTCTTTTTTCTCTTTTTTGCTGCATTGAGAATACAGCTGCGTTAAATCCCCTCCTTAGATAGGTTATTGTGTTTGTGTATATACATATATAAGCAGATGGACCGTAGGCTGTAAGCTGCTTAACCCTGCACTGACTCAGGACACATGCACTTTCTCCGTTCCCCAAGAGAAATAGAGAAACTGTGATCAACACTTTTTGGGTTTAAAAGGTGTGAGGGAGGAAGATGCCAGTTTAAGTTTTTAATAGGCAGAGAAATAGGATTACGTTTAGGGGAGACACTGCAGGTGGATAGGGTCAAAACAAAACTAATAGATAACACCATGAAACATTCCCAGTTGATAACCTTACAATATTTATTTTTGTATTTAAAATGATTGTTTAAATATGCCAATGATGCATTATCACATTAGGAGAAACAAAAACGTTTTTTTTTTTTTAAATGACATTTTCTTTTTACTAGTCTGAAAAGTGACCGCAGTGTGTTTGTAAACAGTGATCAGCTGGATGGAGAAATATGTTCCACCACCTTTGTCCACATCTGGCATTCAGTATTTCGTAAAAACTGAGGGATGAGTTACCAAACACGTAAGGAGACATAAAATCTCTCTGGTGGCCGAACTCCACTTCCCATCCCTTGTGAGTTCTGAACATTTTCAGCTGTTCCCCGTTGTTTAATCTTCGTCAGCCTGTCCGCGGCTGTGATCCGTCCGGAACAAAGCGCAGGTTTATTCCTGATCTAATCTCCTGCGTTCGGCCCTTCCCTTCAGCAGTCCTCATGCTGCAGTCAATGGAGGAAGTATCCAGCGCAACATGAAAGGACTATCACTGTGTGTTTTTGCCATAATGATGTTACCACCTGCTAAAGGTAAGACCATGTAGTGGCTCGGTTTGTTGTAGGTGGGCCTCGAAGTCTAAAAGTGTTCGGGAACTACTGAAATAATAATACTTAATAAGTACTTTATAAATATGAATTACAAGGAAAAAGCCCTTGTTGATTTGTGAGAAAACAACAAGGCCTGTTTTACTATACTGTCTAACCCTACAATAAAATCTCTTTGTACTTAAAGTATTCTATCAACTATAATGTATGTCAATGAAAAGCAGCAAAGCTCTGAGAATTGTGAATCACCAAATCTTTGCTTGGAAAACAAAAATGTGAATTCATTATCAAATGTATTCGGAGTATAGTCTATTCGTCTCACCAATGATTGATTAAGAGGATTTATTTCAGGACGGTTGTAAAAGACTGCACCGATTAGCTATATCTAATAAACTGTCAGTTCAGATTTAGTGAGTCTGAGCTCTCCTAGGGATTAACCGCAGCTCACCTCTTTTGTCCGTTTGTTTACTTGAGCTTGCAGTAGCTAACGAGATGAGAGCGGATAAGGATTGCAAGTCATTCCAACTCATGTGGAAGTCCAGAGGAGATTATTGTCTTCCAGCAGCAGCAGCAGCCTAAAGCAGCTCTAGAGGTATTTGGCAACTGGACGTCCTCTGACAATACACTCCAACGCTAAATCTGTGGACACTGTTACCATCAGAGCTAGCTGGATAATCACTTTTTTGTATCAAAATATGCTGTACTTGCAGTTATTTGGATTTAAAATGGGTTTCTAGCATGAGCTTAAAATCAAGACCCGAGAAGGGATTTCCAGCCACATTTAAAGGACAGATCAAAAACGTTTTATGCTCAAAAAGCACAAAATAGCTGTCTTCTTCACATTTCAAGAGCAAACGCGACTCAGAAAACTAGGGCTTTGTCCCACTCCTGCACTACATGCTAACTTTTTCTATTAATTCCAGTATCTGTCTGGTTAATAAAAACACGATGCTGCTCTAAAACTTGGAGCACTCTCTGAATAACACAAGTCATCCACTCAGAGAAACTAATTCCAGACTGCTGCAGAATAGACAAAATGTTTCGGAGATGCTCAAAAGCTCGGCAGAATGCAGCTCATCAGTTTGGCTTGATGTCCTTCAACAGCGCTCCAACACTTTCACACATTCAGCACCCCCTGAATAATGAATGTGTCCAACAACACATTACATAAATGCCTCAAATCTGAATAATTCAAAGCTTTTCATCCAACTGTTAATAAGCGTACTGTATATCATCTGTTCTTCGCTGGGTTGTCTTTTTTTACTGCAGTCTTGCTACTCTGGCCTTGCTTGGAATAGAAGTTTCCAAACTCAATGGGACCTAACTGTTACATGAAGTTCACGGAAAATGAAATTCGAAATCATTTTGATAATAATCTTACCAATTTGTTTCAATTATCTTACTGTTAGATATTTTCTCAACATGTTCAGTGCATCAAAGTGTCCTGTGTCTGTGGTGTGACTGTGGCTCAGGCGAGGAGAAGGCGGGGGTGCAGCTCTTTGAGTCGGACGCATTTGAGGAAGGGGTACTTCTCGAGTGTTTCCGTTGCGACCTGGGCTTCTGGGACGCCTGCTTTACGACCAAAACGACCTGCGAGGCCGGGGAGCGCTGCTACACGGGCAAAGGGAAGGCAGGTGTGTTGGTTAGGATTGTGTTTTTTCTCAGTGAATGTTTATTCATTTAAATGTAAGCATTCAAAGAGTTTTAAAGTTGATCACCAATAGGGGCTACTCACAGTATGGAGGGTTTCTTTACCTTCATTCAAATGAAATGTAATGGCTTTTCGAGGAATTTCAAGAACTCAAAGATCTCAAATTATGAATCACTTCTCGGACTGACTCCTGTAATTCTTTGTATGTGGGTGTAGAACAGTTATGTATTAGTCCTCTGCAGTTAGTTCAAAATGCAGCCGCCTTTTCACGGGAAAAAGACAACAAGATCTCCTGTAGTGGATTTTGTTTTTGCTTCATTTTAAGGATTTTCATAATGGGCTGAAGCCCCCTTATCTAGAACCATTCTTGTTTACTCATACTCCAGTTAAAGCACTGATGTCAACCAATCAGATGCTCCCAGATATTATGTTTAAGCTATTTATTGAGTTGATCTCCACTCCTTGACTTCATCTTCTGTTGTGTTTAGATTTAAATCAAAGTTAATTATGTTTCACTTTCTCAAGGCAGGTGGCGTGTGAAACAATGACAAAGAATGTTTTTACAATTTCCCAGTTACTGACGTTAAGTAAAAAAACATTAAAAAACGTTCAAGCACGTTCTGTCCATTCTTTCTATTTCATAAAAATACACCCAGAGATGCGGCCACTCTTCTGTCCTCAACAGATTGACTGTTGGTGAGAGCAGCAGGGATGTCCAGGCTGCTCTCACGGTGACACTTTTATTTATATTTTGTAAAACATAGAGGCCTTGATCCTCTCCATTTTTCTGTCAAGGACGCGTGGGAACCATGTAATGTATTTAATTGACTTCCTATGTTATACTGAGCACCATCCTCTTGTCTTCCCAGCTGATACTCTGGACGTTAAGACTCTGGGTTGTGTGAAGGCGGAGGAGTGCGATGTGGAGAACACGGTGGAGCTCTTCCCGAACAGCACCATCTTTGTCATGACCAAACACTGCTGCAACACTCCTCTGTGCAACTCGGCGCACAAACTTCCACACGTCACACTTTTGTGTCTCACTGTGGCTGTCCTAACCACCTGGCACCTCAGCGAAGCCTCAACGAGAGCACAGTGATAAACATCCGGCATGTTTTAATGTTGTAAACACAAAAGAGAGCAAACGACTGGGAAGCTGAATGGACTGAACCAAATGAAAGATGAAAAAAAAAAAGTTTTACAGAACTTTTTTTACTGAATCAAAAAATGATTACTTAAAATATTATTATGGCATGAACATATTAATTAATATTAATTAAAAAACCATAGAGAACATCTGTTTGCATCCTGGCATTTCCACTGACACTTTTGCTCCAACATAAACCTTTGCAACACAATAATAAATACTTCAATCGTACTTTCATAAAGTCTTTTCATGTCATACACTTGTAGATATACAAATCAGTAAAACCCTACCCTCTCCAGAAAACCAGTTGGAAACATTAGATAGTGAACAAACAAACAAACTGACCACAGAGCAGTAGAACATGCCTCAGCAGACCTGCTCAGCTGCTGTTCAGCAGATCCCCAGCAGAGGGCAGCAGATCCTCTTTCATGAAGTGCTGAAGGTCCAAATCTCTGTCCTCCAGGTCGAGGCTCAGGAACGCCTCCACCACTGTCCTGCACCTGTCCGTCACACACATACAAACATATCCTTTTCACATGCACTGTCCTCCTTAACTTCACTTTGTTATTCCGTGTAGCTGGAGTTGAGAGAGACAGTTTGCCTGAAAATCCAAATTAAATGTCTTTCCTCTTACCTGCACTCTTTTCATCAATCTAGATTTGTATGCTACTTGTTGCAGATGGTTAGAGAAATCAGCCACTAACAATCAGGAGGTTGGTGGATCAATTTCAGCCCCCTTTATCCTTGTGTAAAATACTTAACCCCAAATTACTCCCAATGGCATGGCAAGCTGTGTGTGTGTGTGTGTGTGAATGATAGTTTCCTTGAGCAGGTGACACATTGCATGCCACCCCCTGCCTCTGTGTGAATGCTGCCTTGTGTATGTAAATCGCTTTGAGACTCCTTAAAGACTGGCAAAGTGCTAGATAAATGCAGTCCATCTAACATTTAGCATCAGCCGTAGATGTGTCTGCCTTCTATCTATGACACTCGGCCTGAGATGCTTAAGGCGGTTTCATTTGTAATTTTTGTTGCTTTTGGACAATTCAATGCGATCTAAATCCAGCAGCTAATATAGCAAACACTCCACATCTCGCACCAAAACAATCCACATTGATAAATATCAGTACAGGTAAAGGGAAGTTTATGTGGGGAACTTGCCCTGTAACAAACCTGTCAGCCTGCTCATCAGATGATGCTTTGTCAATGCGTTTGATGACTCTGCCTGTCCTGTACAGTTCAGAAACCTGGCAACACACACACACAAGAAATCAGTGTATGTGAGCAGGTTCCTGTGTATCCATGTGCTTGTATTTATGTGTGTGTTTGTTTGTTTACCTCCACCCCTCTCTGCACGAGACTGGCTGGCAGGCCTGCCAGTTTAGCGATGTTGGCAGCATAGCTGGACTGGCAGATTCCCTCCTTGAGTTGGTACAGAAACACCAACTCGTCCCCGTCCACGGCTGTCTCTAGAGTCTAACACACACACACACACACACACACACACACACACACACACAACACAACACACACACACACACACACACACACACACACACACACACACACACACACACACACACACACACACACACACACACACACACACACACACACACCACACACACACACACACACACACACACACACACACACACACACACACACACACACACACATTAAAGCACAACCACACACACAGGTAGACTTCTAATAAGATCAAAATAATCTGGACTGGAGTCTCGTTAGCTAGTTGGTCATTTGGAAGTTGTCAACATGCAGCACATTAGTTTATCATCATGAACATCTATTGAACATCAACAAGAAGCTTCAGGCTACATTGTGTGGCTGTAATCCTCAGTACCAGAAGAGAGAGCAGGCCAGAGGAGGGAAGCAGGCCCAGCTGCAGCAAACTGTGGAAGTTAGTGGCCAGCAGGACATGAGGAACTTCCCCCTGAGGTTTTCTCAGCCAGTGAGAGATGGATGCAGCCAGCAAGGACAGTCCATCCACCTGAAGAGGAGCATTTTACATTTGGCTGTGTTTCTTAGAAACGATAAAGCTCCTATAGGCCATTAACTATGATTTAGTCTAATGAAGGTACAGTAAGCTCTTTACATTAAACCTTGACAGCCTGAGATTACATTGATGCCACAGATGAACCAATTAAAGGTGGGGTAGGTAAGTTTGAGAAACCGGCTCGAGATCGCTAGAATTTGAAAATACACAACCGGAGAAAATCTGCCACTTCCTTATAGAGCCCCTCCTCCAACACACACGAACGCGCACATGACCAATGAGGGCACGAGATAAGTTTGTGCACAGATGGAAGGCTGACAGGCAGGTAGGCCATCCGGCTAAAATGATTGGTCGTACTTTTTACAGTATTACGGCTTCCACAGAGGACATTTTTTTATGGATTTTTTGTCAAAGCACTTCAGATATTCATTGCTATCGGGATGTTAAGAGCATTCCATGGAATATAACAAAAAGTGTATCTCGAGCCGGTTTCTCAAACTTACCTACCCTACCTTTAAGGTCTATTGTCCTGAGAGGGAAAAGGTCCAGCCACTAGATATCCACTTTCTTTGTAGAATAACAAAAACAAATGTTACCTTAGCTAGTTTTTATAATGGTATGATGAATACATGTACTCGAAACAAGCAGAACACTTCTCTGTGTGAGTAACTGTAGTGTAGTACTAATTATCAAACTTAAATTGTACAAATAGGTTGCACACGCTCCACACACGGGACAGATAACAGCAGCAGCAGTTTAGATCTGCACATTCAGACTTTTGACAGGGGGCGTTTTGCATTTATATCCGAAGGTTAAGAGGAGAAACAACAAAAGAAAATGTGAGGTCAGACAGGTTTGACATGCAACAACCGAAGAAGCAGAAAAGAAAGCAAAAGCTGCCTAAATGTGACACATACACCACCTGCAGGTAAGAATGTAACAGTTACAGTTCGGTTTCTTTTTGTTGTCCAGCAGATATTACTAGGAATACTCAGATATAAAATAATTAAAGTTCAGCTTGTTGCTGTGACAACACAGTTTGTTAGCTTTTAGAGAATCCTTTTATCTTTTTCAAGTCGACAACCTTTTCATTCAATATGCAAAATGTGTTTTACATTACATGTCACTTCTTAGACGCTTTTATCCAAAGCAACTTACATACTCAATACTGTGGGCAATCCCCACAGGAGCAATTTGGGGTGAAGTGTCTTGCCCAGGGACACAACGACATGCTGACTGCAGTGGGGTTTGAACCTGTGCACCCCTGATCCGAACACCAACGCACTAGACCACTACGCCACACGCCACAGCGCACAGTTGCTCAGTAATATATCCAGCTTAACATAGATAACAAGTATTGATTATAGCCACTTTCTTGTCATTAGTATCTATGAACAGCGCTAGGATGGAACTTATTCGACCCATATTGAAACTATCAAAAAGGATTTAGAAACCAAACCCTGAATGGTTATGAGCAGGACCTGTGAACTTGTTATTTCTTGTCGTTGACGGTTTTGGTTTACCTGTAAAGATGATTTGTTCTTGTTTTTGTACAAAGGAATGATTTGTTTAAAACAATGAAGGAAATATCACGGATGCTGATGACGATGACCTGAACTTTTATTTTCATGAACAATGTACGCTAGAGGGGGTCGGACCAGAAACTTCTTCTTACCCCTTTTGAACATGAAGGAAACAATTTAAGTATTTATTTGTATTATTATTATTATTGTTTGTTTTGTTTTTAACATGTTCAAAAAATTGACTAATAATAATAATAATAATTGACTAATAATAAAATATTGGTATTAGTATATTATAATTTTTAGTTTTCTTCTTGCCTCTGTATCCTACACCAGTTTGTCTTTTAGGAACAAACAACTGGTGTGAACCTTCTCCAGAGTAACTTTGCAGACAGGAAATGAAGGCCAGAGATCAAAATGATGCTCTGCACATTTCCTAGTATCCAGCAGGAAATGTACACCAGTTGCTAATTCTGAAATATAAAGAAATATATTTGAAACTAAATGAAAGTCAGCAGTCTTTGCAGTCTTTATTTCTCCTCTTGCCTGCAGGTGGCGCACACTCACACCTCTCTGTAAATGAGCAGCTGCTGCTGTTTTCTGCTGACAGGGGGCACATGTTGGGCTGAAGGTCTGTTGTGCGTTTGCCCTGAATGAGATAATGCCGTCTGGAATTGGTTTCAGGCGCCTCACATTCGCGACCCTGTTTTTCCTTGTTATGTGTTTCCATGTGTTTAGTTCACAAAGTGCTGGAACAGGTTTTTGCTTACTGTGTTAGTTCCTTTCCCAAATTCATCGATGAGAACTAACGAGTTGCCAGTACTGCTGTTGATTGCGTGGGCCATCTGCAGAATAGAGACAACGTTTGGTTTTAATGTGTGAGAATGTGTGTGTTATGGCAGGTGGAGAGTTGGAGTGGAGTGGGAGGACAGTTCATAACTTGTATTTCCACACCCAAACACACACACACACACACACACACACACACACACACACACACACACACACACACACACACACACACACACACACACACACACACACACACACACACACACACACACACACACACACACACACACACACACACACAGAGTTACTTATGGGCATACAAAGTGTGTGTGTTAGGTACCTGGTTAAGGTCTATCATGTAGGTGCTGAGGCCAACAGACACAGACTCTCTGCTCTGCATGCGGGTAAAAATCCCATCCAGCAGACCAATGTCCGCCTCCTTCGCGGGCACGTCTGAGCCAATCAGAGCCATGAACACAATCAGACCAACCTGACAAGTCAAATCAGAAGAGGTCAGGGTTGGATGATGAGTGATGATGAGTGATGCTGTGTGAACTTGACCAAACGGGAGAGCAGAGATACAGAAAGGCTGGGCTATATATAGACATCATATTGACTAGATATTGTCAAAGATTTTGGATAACC